CCTCTGACCCTCCCCCCTCTCATGTGCTCTCTGTCTCTCTCATTCTCTCTGTCTCAAATAAATAAATAAAATCTTTAAAAAAAAAACAAAAAAACATCAGTTATTTTCATCACATAAATAATATCTGGCAAATTGGATTTATAAATCACCATAAAAAAACAGCAATTACATGTATTTTCAGTTTTACTTGATTCATCTGATGATCTTTGTCACACACCTTGTCCATGTATGTCCAGTCTTCTGGTTGGGACCCTTGAATATCAAGTTTTGCTGAGCATTTGGCTTATATTATATAGAGGCATTATTTCTAATAGAAAACATTCCTGCATGATAACGTTTTAAGTATAATTCTGGATTTTAGTTATTAGTTGCTGGTGACTATTCTTTAATTTTGATTATCTGACCACCTCACCCCAGCAGGTAGCAGATTCATCTTTGCCGTGACCGCAGTCCAATTTGCTGTTACAAAGCAGGGAGCGTGGCAAGTGAGTCATGAGATCTTCACACAAAAGGCCAAGTTGCTGTGAAGCTGTTTTACATTGTCCATATGGCAAATCTGGAAGATTTGTAAGACAAGTACTGCATGTAGGCATATGCATCCATGACCATGAACATCAAGCTTTAATAATACAATAACCTGTTTCCTCCTTCCTCTTCTGCTTCTTTCCATTGTTCTTTCCCCCATTATTTCTTCTCCTCCTTTTCTTTCTTTTTCCTCTTCCATCCTCCCAAACTCTCTAGGCTTTACTTAGTTTCCATTTCTCGCAATACAACTGGCATTTGGGCAAACAAGTGTGGACTCACTCTTGTCTGAGAAGGAATGAGTGAGGTGACTGAGAAGGAGTCAACAAGGCTGGGCTCTGGCTTGAGCTTTGCCTCAGACTGGTTCTGTGTAGCCCCCTCCACTATTTTCTTAGCTAGAAATGGGAACCAAGAAAGCTTGCTACAACAGCTTCAAGAGGATGTTGAGTTAAACTGGCATCACTGTTTAAATGCAATGGATCTTCTCCCTCAGAAATGAGTGGGAGTTTGTCAGAATAATGTGATGGTATTTTAAAAATATTTTTGAATTATAAAATTTTGAATTTAAGATGTAAAGAGCAGATTGATAATACTTAAATCTCAAATATATCTACACCTAAGATAATGTATCTCCTGAAAATTCTGGTTTGGTGTATGGAGTGGTAAACAAGCTGGAAATTTCACTTTAGATTTAGGTGTAGAGTTGATGAGGGTTTTGTGAAAGTGCATTTTGCATCTTGAATGTTTTGTAGTTGGAACTAGGTTTATAAGTAAGAGGCAGATTAACACCACAGTTTGTATTCCCTTAATCCACAAGGTGCTTGGCATTGTGATTGTAGCTTACTTCTCTCAAATCACTAATGATATTTAACACCCCACCCATCTAATTTAATACTAAATTATACACTCTTCTATACTGTTCACCATTTCCCTAGTCTCCCTAATTACAACACAAACTCCTTGAAGGTAGAGTCAATGTTCTGTGTAAACTTCAGAGTTGGGCAGACCTGGATTGGAACCTTGTCTTACGGTTTTACCAGCTGTATGATCTTGGGCAAGACTCCCTGCGTCTCTCTTCAAAATGGTGATAACAGCCACCTCTCAAGACGGCTGAAAGGAATGAAATAAAGATGAGATATATTTAATGTTCAGAGCAATGGTTGGCACATACCACATGCCAATTGCCTGTTGTCAATAGACTCACCCCAAATCACCCATCTCAGGAGACTCAGCCGTTTTGAAAATATATGGGGAATAAATATATTCTTGTTTGTTGAGGGAATTATTGGCAGATCTGCCACGTAGGGGACACACATACTTGCAGGTTTTACTGGTATCCCAAAATTGATCCCAAGACCGGTCACAGCAGCCATAACTCTGAGCACAAGGAATGCCATGCAGAAAATCTGGACACATTGCCTGGTGGGAGGCCAGCATTGCCTGGTTCCAGCAGAACACAAGCACAAAGAACAAGTCTGCATCTCAGGGCAGAGACTTGTGTTGAGGGCCTTGTTAACTAGCTAGGTGTTGTCCATCGTTATCTTAGGGTGAAAGGGGGTAGCCAAAATGACAGGACCTTAAATCTATGCTTTGAGTTATAGTGGTGCTTTCGATGTCTACAGTCTCTAATTTAATCTTCTAACAAGTAAGTTTGACCAGCCTTCTGACAGGTGAGTTTTGCTCTCCCAGTTGTGCAAATGAAGATTTAAAATGAAGAAACAGATGGGCACTGAGTGATGTATGGAATTGTTAAATCACTACGTCATACACCTAATATAACCAAATAAACTAGTATAACAAAAAACTGAACTGTAAACTAAACTAATATAACAACAACAAAAAGAAATACATAAAAAATAAATAAAATGAAGAAACAGCCAGTGAGGTGAAATAGCTTCTGAGGTTTATGCTGGTATAAGTAGAATGATGTCACCTCAAACCCAGATCTTCTCTTTCCCTACCAAGGTCTATTTGTACTATGCCAATGTTTTCCAAAACCTGGTTTTCAAACTATCTACGTCAGAATCACTGAAGGAAATGCAGATTCCTGCCTCCACACCCAGACCTGCAGAATCTGAGTGTCTAGTGAGTGGGGCAGGGGGTCTACATATGTTTGAGCTTCTCGGGTCATTCTTATCCACACCAAAGCCTGAGAACAAGAGCCATATACCCAAGATGACATGCAGACTATGGTCTTGGGTTCCAACCAGACATTCCAAAGGCTGTCACTTGGTGGTTTCTGGAGTTGGCAGTCCTTGAGGAGCAGGAGAGGCGAGCTGTTTCCCTTGAGTGGCTTGGCACCACGAGAACTGGCCTGACTGGTTTTATTGGCATGCCATGAAGAGAAAAACAGAGTGCTCAGTCTGCTCCTGATCATTTTTGTCCAAGTTCAGCAGACCTACCTTCCCAAACATGGAGACCCTTGGTGTTTCTGAGGCAGCCCGCTGGCCCAAGTTCCTGAATATCTCTGAACCATCTTCAGGGGCCCAAGTCTGCAGCTGTGGCACTTTTGGACCCCCACCCTAGGGAAATCAGCATTCAAACCCCCTTGTGGGCAAACAGTAGATTTTAATAGAAGACAGATGGGATGGAATCTTTTCTTGGGAGCCACTCCTAGACTCTAAGGCTTTTGTCCCTTTGGAACGATATCAAGTACAAATATTAATTATTTTCTAACACTTAATAGTTTAAAGGAATCAACAGCCCTGTCATGTAGCTGTGAACAGTCACTTTATTGGTGAAGAAACTTAAGCTTAAAGACTCTCAGTGTCGCAGCCACTAAATGCTAGAACAGAGACTAGAACTCAATCAGACCTCCAAGTCTTTTGGCCACACCACAAGGCTCCAGAAAATTCTCTCTGCTGCATCACAAAAACCCTGTCAGCCCTTACTCCTCAAACAGGAGTCTCCAGCTCCTGAGATCAATGTTAATTTGCCCTTCCCAAGTATCTACAGCCTTTAATATGTCCTTAATCTTTAACTTAGAAATCCCACTTTTAGGACTCTCTCCTATGCATATAATAGGATATACAGAGGGCGCCTGGGTGGCTCAGTTGGTATACAGAGGGCGCCTGGGTGGCTCAGTTGGTTAAGCGACTGCCTTCGGCTCAGGTCATGATCCCGGAGTCTGGGGATCGAGTCCCGCATCAGGCTCCCTGCTCAGCAGGGAGTCTGCTTCTCCCTCTGACCCTACCCCTTCTTGTTCTCTCTCTCTCACTGTCTCTCTCAAATAAATAAAATTAAAAATAAAAAAAATAGAACATACAGAATAAAGCTATATGTAGGAAGATTTTTTTACATAGTGCAATTTATAATAGAAAATACTAAATGCTAAACAATGCTAAAACACTTTAGTCACTTTAAATATTAAATACCTGTTTACTAAAATTGATTTAAAACCTACTCAGTTTTATGTATGATGGGTTCTCAAAAGCATAAAACTATTAAATAAAAATATTGAGGATGAAAAGGCTGGAAGAGTTATCTGTGGCTGTCTCTGGATAGACGTTCATTTGTTTATCATTCATTCCTTCAGCAAATATTTATGAATACCTATGTCAGGCAGTGTGCTGGACTCTGTAGATACAACAGTGAACAAGATAGATCGATATAGTTTGCCGTTGGTGAGCTTACAGTCTGGAGAACAATGTAATTTTTAGCAGGAGGGTTTGCATCAAAATCATTAGGGGTTACTTTTTAAAAATTTACATATTTCATGCTTTGTTCCTGAAGATTGGCTCACTGAGTCCAGGATGGGTTTGGGGCAAAATAAAAATTTTTGAAAAGCTCCCTTGGTGATTGTGAAACACAGCTAGGATGAATAGGATGATAAATACTCCTCTAGAATAGAGCTCTCCAAACTTTTATGACTGTGTATCCCTTCAATAACAAAATAAATAAATGAAATAAAATTAGCATTCCCCCACAATATGTAAATACTTATTTATGAATCTACACCTGTACTTGCCCACTAATATATTATATGTATTGTAAAACACTGTCCAAAATTGAAATTTAAGAAGGATGAAATTAAATTCTAATTTTCTAAAGTTCTAATATTTTTTTTCTCTGACCCCACTGGATTCCCTTGTACACCCTATGTGGTTCATCTGGAAATTATTTCTCTACTCTAAAGGATAATGAGGCTGTGAGTGGCAAACAAGAAAGGAAGCTACTTTTTTTTTTTAAAGATTTTATTTATTTATTTGACAGAGACACAGCAAGAGAGGGAACACAAACAGGGGGAGTGGGAGAGGGAGAAGCAGGCTTCCTGCCGAGCAGCGAGCCCGATGTGGGGCTCGATCCCAGGACCCTGGGATCATGACCTGAGCCGAAGGCAGACGCTTAACAACTGAGCCACCCAGGCGCCCCAAGGAAGCTACTTTTAAGAAGTCATTGCTTATTTAGTGTGACAGTCCTGAAAGGTATTCAAAAGCTAATGCAAAAACTAATTATTAAAATAGAATTAGAATTAACATAGACCTGTGTCATTAAAATGGAATTAGAGCAACAGAGCATGCCTTCATTACCTCAGTGGCTAATGTGCAGCTGGAAATCATTCGACCGCAGGTCAGCAGACATGAGGAAACTTTATGGGGTCTCTGGGCCTAAAACGCATCTTAACTAAGCCAGAACACCAAGCCGGGGGGAGAAGGAATTTTGCAGACTGAGAGAGGAACAGAGGGGCTTACACAAGGCCTGGAAGCCTGAGGGCCTGCAGCAGCTCGGGACAAGCCTCAGGCAGTGGGATTCAGAGGTGCCTAGGGGCTAGAATGTTGAGCTGGGGTGCCCACCACCCTTCATCCTGCCAGTTTCCTCATTTGCGGCTCAGACTCCATCTGGTGCAAGACTAACTTCCAAACTGAAGGGGGCAGCAGAAAGCAATGAACAGGCCCTAATTGCTTTTAAGATCTTTTCAGCCCACTAAGTGATGGCCACCATCCTAACTTGCTCTGGAGTGGCGCTGACAGGGAGGACCACAAGGACCAGGAGCCACTCATGTCTGTCCCATGCTACTCAGGAATGACTGGCTAGCACGTTTTAAAGCTTTTGGAGGTAAATCTGCGGCCACACGCCCCTGCCACTGTGATCGTGTTTCCCATCTGTAAGCAGCATGAGGATTGTTTAAGCACCTACGTATACACTGTCTCATCAACTTCGGAGTGAATTGCTGAGGTAAATGGGATTTGCAGGACCATTTCATAGTTGAGGAAACAAATCCCAGAGATGTGAACACCTGTCCAACCATGAAAAGCTAGTCAGTGACAGAGCTGGGCTTAATAGAGTTTAACTTCTTCTTGTCTCACCTTTCTCGGAGTTCATGAACAGTTTCCCAAGAATCTGCAAATATATCCTGTAAAAAAAAAAAAAAAAAGCTAAATTTTTGTTTTCATTGTGATGATAATCTGCAACAGTCATAATAAGCATAATCTGAATTATCTGGAGGATCACAACTGAGAAATGGAATATATCACCAGAATCTTTGTTTTTATCCTTTAATTTGTGCCTCTCTTTGAGTTTATACCAAGCAAAATTCAGTGGACTTCATGGTATGCTCTATCACTGAGATTTTTTGCAGCAGACTGAACACAGAAATGTGGTGGGAGAATTGAGTCATCTCAGGACCCACAAAATACAGGCATGACAGACTAAAAAGTAACTTGCCCCATAACATCCATGTCCACATTTCCAGTAGATGTGCACTGAGGTCTCAGTCTTTGATAATATCATCCTTTAGTTATTAAATTAAAAAATATTTTAGTAGGAAGTATGCCCTGAAGAACAGTTCTGTTCTGGAGTACAACAGTAACTGGATTAGTTGTCCACTGAATGCAGACTAGTATCTTCAAATGAAGAGAGAACCTTAGAGTTTTCAAGTGACATCTGCATTGCGCACCTACAGTGTTCGTTAAGTGAAAGTTTTGTTTCTCCTGAACTACAAACAAAGGGACATATTAACACTCCTGTTTTGTATGCAAACAGGCATTCCCAGAAGTTGTATTTTCAAACTCACAATACGGAAACAAAAACTGAGCTAACATTTTTTCTACCATTAACCCCAAATTGACATTTTTATGATTCAGAGCACTACTACCATCCACTTACCTATCACATTAAATTAATTTGCACATCTGCATTTTACTACCTTTATGGTAGTTGATTTCTATTTTTTCTTCAGTTATATAGTAATCTATAAACATGGAGTTTATACATTGTTTCATGGTTCTACATATTGAAATAACATTTTAACAAAAATTAAAATGAGAGTCACCTGGTGACGGTTGGGGCCTGCAATCGTTGTCCAAGAGCGGGATTCCTTCAGTCCCCCGGGGGGCCGGAACCCACAGCAGAGGGAGCTGTCCTGTCTCCCCTCTGCGTCCCCTTCCCGCTCCAGGATGGCTTACCTCCGAGAGCTGCTTACAGATTCCTTTCCTTCCCTTCTTCTTCTGCACCATCAGCCCCAACTCTTCCCTTCCTCTAACTCCCTTCTTAGCTCCTGGGCCCATCAGGGGACTCTTTCTTGGGAAAAGTTTTGAGATCCTAGTCTGGTCCAATTACCTTATTTTCCACATGAAGACGCTGGGGTCCAGATGGATAAAGTGACTCTAGTTCAAGGTCACTGGAGACCCTGCCGCTGCCGGCCTTCGTGGTCCGTAGGGCAGGGAACAGGCCCACAGAAAGAGCCCAGGGAAGCTGCAGTCATTGCCTGCCCCGCGCCTGCTCCTCTCCGGTTTCCAGCACGGGAGGGAGACCGCCCCGCTGACCGGCCGCACGGCACTAGGGGAGGCGATGACTCTCCAGCCCGCCGCCGTGGCGCCTGCAGCTCCCGGCGTCCGAGCCTCCTGCTTCCTCCGGCAGAGGCCGGTGACAAACGGACGGCGGGAAACCTGAACCGAGACTTGGGTCTGCTAACGGGGCAGTCAGGCCCCCGGGTGAGCCTTCGCTCTTCGACGGGCCTCCGCGTCCTCTTCCATGAAACCGTCAGGACACCAGGAGAATTCCAGTGTCTCCCAGTCTTCCCTAAATCTAAGAATCCCTTGGAGTGTTTCTTAAAAACCCAAATTCCTGGGCTCCAGCCCAGATTTGGAATATCTAGGGGAGATGCCTGGCAATCTGTGTTTAACAAGGGCCCGGCTCATTGCTATCAGCAGGAAAACGCAGAAGCTGTGAGCCCTCCAAAATTGTGAGTCAGCCAAAGCCTCCACAACATGACGGGTGCGACTGTATGAGGAGGACCCGGCAGGCAGGGGCAGCTTGCCCCGCTCACAGGACTGCTGTCAGAGCGGTGAATGAGTCAGCCAGCGAGTCTGAGGGACTAAGAAAACAAAATGGGTGAGTTTAATCAGAGGAATTAATTGACAGAGGACAAGGGCAGGCTTTGTGGGGGGTTTTTTTCTTTTCTTTTATTTTATTTTTATTTTATTTTTTTTTAAAGATTTTATTTATTTATTTGAGAGAGAGAGAATGAGAAAACAAAATGGGTGAGTTTAATCAGAGGAATTAATTGACAGAGGACAAGGGCAGGCTTTGTGG